CAGTCCACCTTGGATGAGAACAACTTTTGGGAAAGCAAGGCTATGTGAAAATTCAATGGAAACGTCAGCTTAACTCATATTATTGTGGGAAAATTCGACTACCAGTCTTTCATCACCTTACACGAAATAGGGTGAATACATCTCATTACTCTTATTTACTGGTAGTCTCGAAACCCTACTTACATACGAATATAAAGTACGATAGATGCGGCGGAGATTAGAGCAAATTGGCTAGTAGTAGACGTGGTCTATGAAGTAAGGGCTTGACCATGAGAATTACATGGGTTCTTTAGCCTCAATTCAGTCTCCCAGAGGCAGGATGTGGGAAATAGCGCCTCGAGTTACATAGATATGGTGGCAAGGGTCGAGATAAATTCTTGAACCACGCGGTAAGAAGGAGACTCTGATAAGGCCTATGGAAGAAAAACTGCGTTATAATATGGCTGATTCTGTTCGACATTCCCAGCACAAGAGTGAACAAGTGGATAAGATGCGTGAGAAAGCCCGTGTGGGGTGTAGAGAGTTCCCATGAAAGGGCATGCCTTAACACATTTATATAAGCAAGTAAAGAAATTGTGCTAGTGGAGGCGTGATATGAGAATTTAGGATTGGTGATTAGCCCAGGGCAGACCGAGAGATACCACGATTGTTTAGCATGCAATTGGTCAAAAAATTGCCTTCATTTGCCTCTGACGAGTTGAAGTGTGGTGCTAAAACTCGCAATGCTCACTGATGATGCCGACTAAGATGCTAGCAAAACTTCTGGGAACGTGCCATGTTCACGGTCCGACTGGAAATTATGATGCCTACTATGGTCTCCGGCCAAGGTACGTTCCTCTATGTCTTCCTACCAATATAACCAAGTTGCGAAAACAAGGGCAAACAACTTATATACAACGAAAGGAGATTACGACCACACAAAAGGCCAAACTATCTTGATTTTCATCCCTACAATTTTTACGATTATTTCTCATTCCTCATAACTATGGCATTAAGATTTCTGCTAGGTCAATTTTGGAAATTATTAATTTTTTGTTATTTTCTTTCTTATCAACAGGTAATGTACGGTGGACGGACAATCGATACATACGATAGACGTGTGCTAATCACTTATATGAATGAATATTTCGGTGATTTTCTCTTCGATACCTACCAACCGTTTTATTTCTATAAAGATCAAGATGCTGAATACTTTATTCCTGAAGAAAATGTACTCGTTGTTCACCAATTCAAGGACATTTACACAGGTATGTTGCCTTACCTTCTTTTGTTCACTCAACTACGCAATCTAGGCTTTCATAAAACTTGTTAAAGCTTCATATTTTCAATTGATAAGTGTTATGTTAGGCGTGCACAAAGCCTTTGCTCAGTATCTATTCCTAAAATTCTGGCTATTTTGTTTTTTATTGCATTAAAATCCAAATATATAATATAATATAAACGAATCAACCTCAGCTGCTTTTTTCAAAGTTTACCAAATCAGGAGCCTTAGCCTGTATAAATTTTTTTAGCATTTCAATTTTGAATACGAAGGGTAACTGGCTTCTGATGAAGCTCCTGAGATAACGTTGTTAAGGCTAACTTAATTTCGTATGAAAGTGCATGGAGAAGAGATTCGTAGGTTAATCTCACCAGAAGACGACGGATGATTTCCATTTAACTACAACCATTTGTAGAAGTGAGTTGACCTCGTTGTCGCAACTTAGTCTTGTTGACTGTGACTCAAGGGTACTTGTGGCAGTGTAACCGAGTGGTTAGCATGTCAAGCTACCGTCCTGCACTGTTTCGCCGGCATCATAGTCGGCATCATCAGTGAGTTTTGCCATTCTCCGCACCAAGCTACGGACTCGTCAAAGAGACAAGTGAAGTCAATTCCTCGACAAACGTTCTGCCGAAAACGGTTACACTATACCATACCAGAGGCTACAACATCTTGGTCTTCATATCTACAACCATTTGACTTTAATACAAAGTTAATGTTGACGCAGTCGACAAGACATCCTCACTTGTTTCTGGTGAAAGCGAACTGAGCTTTTGTCCAAAATATAATGGAAATCATCAGAGTTGAAACTGATTCTTCTACAAGTCTCACGTTGATATTAGCTCAAGAAGACTCTCCGGCATAATCCCAATAAAAAACAAAACTCTAAAGGCATATATAGATATAGAATGATTTGGCTAATTATCATTCATATTGGTCATGCTATATTTGCTCGTGTTTGTGTGTGTTAATTCCCATGAGCAATACGGGTCCTAAATCAGATATCAAAAAAGCTTAATGCAGGCTATGGTCATCAAGGCCTAATGACATAAGAAAAATCACGAACGAGACTTAGTAAGTCCGTAAACAGCTCTGTTTGAAATAACAAGATCTAAGCTTATAATGGTGTTTATCAGGTTACTAAACCACCTGTCATAACCCCTCAGTCTAGGGTCATTAAGGTTTAAGCACTCGAGGAAAAACATGACTGTGGCTGCGTAATTTCGTCTATCTCGTTTGGTTGATTAGCTTAATTTAACGTGATGGATGAGTGTAAGTGAGTGGGCAAGTTGAGTCGCCTTTTGGGTGGCGGTTCAACACCACCTCTC